TGTGGTTTTGTATGGGATATATACCCTGCTTCCCCATGGATACTAATTATTTCCACTTGGTATCATTCGAAGAGCTCATGTCTATCGAAAATATTCTTTGGTATCATCATCAATTAATCCACAACGCCGCGCTCATCTTCCGACACCCGAAATGCGTGGTTGCCTCCATGTCAGACTCTGCCATATCTTCGGTGATGTATTAATCGTGCATGCGTCGTGTCCGTCATTATAGAATGGACCTGTATTCAGTCCTTTCGTATGCAGACTCGTGGGCCTATTCATCGATGGGGTGATCGACCTACCATGTCCAGTCAGCACCCGACCAACGACATGTAAGTAAATGATACTCACCCAGGACATAATCGAACAGTTGCGTACTGCTCGAGCTCTCATTGCTGTCTGTTAATGCCAACTGCAGTCTGGAGTCTGAAACCAGCATGTTTTAAGCATTTCACAACGGATTTTCTAGTTGGCGGTATGCAGCAGTTCTCTCATGACTCCGTTTGACTGTTGGCTCCGTTTTCTATGAGCGAAAGCCCAGCGTCAAGGTTCCCCATCTCCCGAATCCGTTCGAGAAGATTATCAACGCGTATATTAATATTCAACCTTTGTTCCGCAAAAACAAGGTCAAGTTTGGCCTTCGTGTCGTCTGCATGCGCCAAGGAATGATCTTGAATTAATTCTTTGCCTCTCTTCGTGTTGCTCTTGTTGATCACCTTTCCACATCCTCGTACCTGGCAAGTCCATGTATCAGATGGCACATCGTCGGCATGAGGAATGTCTAAGCCAGCTGAGTCCTGGACCTGATCTGCGGTGGAAACGGAAGTATTTCGGCTTTGGAGGGTTTCCTGCAGAGGTGTTTTGTGTTGAGGCGTGGAGGCCGTGTCTGACAGGATCGAGCGAGTTCTTCGTTTTGCTCTGGTTGATAGCGGGTCCCGTACCAGATCATGACCGCGGACTTTACTGGGGGTCTCGAATTCATCCATCCCTTCCTGATCCCCATCTGACATATCTTCTGGGTCGATCGCAGTGCTTCGCGTACGCTTGCCAATTTGCTTAGTGGAGAATGCGCTCGACTTCGGGCGAAGCACGGATTTGCGAACTAGTCGTCTTCGTGGTCTGCGATTTTCTTCGTGTTCACTCTCTTCATCAGAGGACTCTCCTTCTTCAGAAGTCCGAGGACGCAACGGAGTAAGTGCAATCTGCTGAAGTTCATTCCTCTTTGACGCGGCCTTCAGCTCACGGTAGATAACCTTCCGTGACCAGTCAAAATTCGGGGTCTTAGCTTCGTCCATCAGCTCCAGGATGATGTTGGCCCTCGATGAGATAAGGTCTTGTGCATACTCGGGACTATCTATCTCGAACCGGTTCACAAGGGTGGAGGCAAGCAAATCAAGATTGAGCTGACGCTTCGCCAAGTGTCCTGCCTCTTTTAACTCAAGGATCACCTGGTAAATTGCGTCTGCCTGCGTCTTTGAAATCACATTTGGATCAGGCGCATGCTTTGACTCTTCCGAGACCTCATCAATATCCTCGTCCTTGTCCTCGTCCATAGCTTCCCCATCTTGTTTTGACTCGTGCGAAGATTTAATTTCTTCATAATCCTCCTATTTTGTGATCATCAGCAAAGGCAATCATGATGAAAGGTACCGAGGAACCTGCTCACAGGAAACTTCTCGCACAAATGCTCGAATAGCTGCGATTTGGTCCATTCTACTTCCTCTTCACCCTTCAGCATCCGAGAGAGTAGGAAGTTGTGATGTTTGTAAAAGACTTCGGCGGAATCATCAGCGTCCTCGCAAATACCATGTGTGTGGTTGACATACTAAAAGCATCGTGTAAGCGACTGACACCTAAGGTCCATCAAACCGTGTAATCTGCACTCACCTCCTCACACAGGTACTCAACGCTTGGATTCCAATTCTTCCGTCTTCGTCCCTTCGGTTGGTGTCTGTCCGCCAAAAAATATAACAAATCAATGGCCTCGACCACATCATTGAACATTGGTCGGTAACCCCTCGCTGGCGATATAGAAAACCAGCCAGCACGGCCAGCAATCCAGACCCCAACCTCACCGTCACTATGTTGGCCGTAGGCATAATGGGTCACATTATCGATCACAATCCGTTTTGTAATGTAATCAGGATCGAGGACTATCCGAATAGACAAGATTCAGGTCAGCTTCTGTTTAAAGAAGACGAAAATCGCGGTACTTGTGAGAGGTACTACGTGTAACAATTAAGGTTGTAACTCCAGTAATACATACCTAGAGACTCTTGCTCCTCTTCCACCTCGTCCAAACAGCCCGTTACCTGAACAGGGTTGCTGGGAGATGCTGTGAGAAGATTTGCATATCGGGACTTGCCTGGCACCAGGACCCTGACTTCAGACAGACTGAACTCCTCCCAGTCGTTCTCGTCCGTAAGAGATGGGTCTCTGGCGGCCAGGACACTATCTTCTCGCGATGTCATGTCTCGGGGAGCAGCATGGTGTCTTGACTGATATGAAACGGAATTGACGAAAGCTTCTTTAGAAGCCGAACGCAAAGATTGAAGGATCAAGAAATAAATCGAGTGAGGATGGTCAGAATGGAGTTCGATGGAGTCACATCGAGGCACCACCTTCCTTTGTCTGGCACACCTATCCACCCCCCGACAGACTGGTAATTACCCGTCGTTTACGAAACTCGGGGCCAGGTAACCTTGTAATTCTCTGGTATGCACGAAATAATTGTACCGTACCGTTTTGCTGAGATATCTTCTCTATCGTACCCGGCAATAATGTTCTCTTTTTTTGTAGTAAAGTGTTATTTGAGAAATGCATTGCTAAACTGCCAGCTAGCTCCATTGCGTAAATTGGTCGTTATCGATTTCTTACTTTTGGATATTTATTGATCAGCTTATTTACCTGCCATCTGTCTTCCCATAACCATATTTAATCCACCTCCCCGCGACTGATGGGATTCTGTCGCGGCTTCAGATTATTTCGTACCACCATGTCTGGAGAAAAAATCTACGAAGGCGTCTTCGGTATGTGTTCTCATGCGCACCGGAGCATGATAAGAAATAGCGCTAATGTCCAACAGCCGTCCACAAGCCTCAAGGTGTCACATCGGCCGATGTCATCCGAACCCTTCAGCACCATTTCAACCCCTCCAAGCTCTTCAAACCCTGGCTCGACGAGGAGCGCGCGCGACGGAACAGAGAGAGCAGCTATCAGCGCAACAGGCGCCGCTCGAGGCGCCTGGACGTCAAGATCGGACATGGAGGTACTCTCGACCCATTGGCGACCGGCGTGCTAGTCACGGGTGTGGGCAAGGGTACGAAAAACCTCAACGACTTCCTAGGGTGCACAAAGACCTATGAAACGGTTGTGCTTTTTGGAGCGGAGACGGACACCTACGACAAGCTGGGGAAGATCGTCCGACGGGCCCCGTACGAGCATATCACTCGGGAGGCGGTTGAGAAGGCGCTCGAGCAGTTCAGAGGGAAGATCATGCAGCGTCCGCCTATCTTTTCGGCGCTGAAGGTCCAGGGGAAGAAGCTTTACGAGTATGCGCGGGAGGGCAAGGAGCCTCCGATCGAGATCCAGTCACGCCCCGTGGAAGTGAGCGATCTGCGCATTCTCGAGTGGTACGAGCCCGGCACCCACGAGTACGAGTGGCCCAAGGAAGAGGCTGCCGGAGAGGAGAAGGAAGTTGCGGAAAGACTTCTGGCAAAAGATGATACCCTGCCTGTAGCTTCATCTGCTGAGACCGAGGTCCCGGCAGAGGATAGCGGAGAACAGGAGACATCAACAGCTACAAAACGTAAGACACCGCCGCCTGCTGAGGAGCCCACGAAAGACGAGGTGGATGCTCCATCTGCCACCGATGCCGAGCTTGCTCCAACGGCGGCGAAGAAACAGAAGATCACCGCCAATGGCGACTCAGCGCCGGCGCTGGCTGAGCCCTCAAGTGGTTCCTCGCGACTAGCTACCACGCCAGCAAATGAACCCTCCTCTCAACCTCCTGCTGTGAAAATCACCATGACCGTCTCGTCTGGCTTCTACGTCCGCTCTTTGGCGCATGATCTGGGCAAGGCCCTCGGTAGCTGTGGTCTTATGAGCTCACTCATCCGAACGCGCCAAGCGGATTTCGAGCTGGAGTCTGACAAGGTCCTCGAGTATAAAGATCTCGAAGCCGGTGAGGATGTTTGGGGTCCGAAAGTCAAACGATTCCTAGAGGAATGGGAGAAGAATAGAGCCGAAGCGAACACAGAATAAGTCCGCACATTCAGACATAGAACTCGGACACTATCTAAAAGTCTTTTATAATATTTCAAAATACCTGTGTACAATAGACAGCGTTGACCGATGTTTTTAATATGATTATTCTACTTGATGAGCTTTTCTTTGATTTCCGCCTATTTATAAATTCCAGGAATTCTGGATATCTTCGGTAAACCTGCACAGCCATCTCATGGTATCGGTACTTGCTGCGACCTGGCTTCTGTCTCAGTCACGGCGGGGCTTGTCTTCCCCAATTCCTCAGAAAGGGGATCTTGCAGGTCATTCGACAATGAGAGTAATCCATGTAAAAAAAGCCAGTATGGTGGCGGGCTGCTTCAACCCAAGAATGTGAGATGTAAGATTGCAAGGTCTAACTAAGCCAATGGATAAAGCACATTTACTAATCAAGAGGATCAACCTCCGCATCAAGCAGGAGATACTTCCATGCAATGGATCTATTTCATCAGATCATGCATCTCATCAGGTTCAAGAAATTCTGCTGGGTAAAAGTCGCAAAGAGATAGGGAACGGTTGCAAGTCAGATAGTCAGACACAGTCGGTAGTTGAACAAAGGAGAACCGCTTTTGGTGGGGTATACCGCTGAAAAAAAAAGGCAATTTGGCAAAAGGACACTGAAAGGAAATTTAAAAGAGAAAAATGAGGCCAACAGGTACGATTTCAGAAAGACAGAACAAATGATCCGAAGGTAGTCTATGCGGTAAATGAGAATATCAGGGCAGTGACTGCTGATGAGCACTGTGAGCGTCAATGAGTGCTGTCGTATGTTAGCTCTCTGTAGGCTGAAGAAGGTTGCAAGTGCATTATTGACGACTTACTTTGGAGCACAGAGGCTTGTCCTTGTCGGGATTCACAGGCGCACTGGAGGGTGCTGCCGTTCAAGAAGTCAAGCAAAATGCTGTTGGGCAGTTCTTGACGATCTTCATCCGGTATACACGGTGTTCTGAACTCAGTCAGATGGTACCGCTTGATCATATTGCGGCTGCTTGAATCGACATTTCCAGGGGCTAAAATCAGATATCCTTTGTCATCGATCCGAATGAACCGGCGCTTCCAGAGGAGGGTGTCAGGGAACTGAACATTGACCTCGCCGACGTCGATTGCCGCGGTGCTCACGCTAGCCTTCGGCTTCTCAGCAGCAGCCGGTTCGCTTTCTTCTTCCTTGACGGAAGGACTGAATGCCCCAATGACGCTCTTCTTTGAATTTGACGTTATCGATGACATGCGGCGTAGGAGTCGAGAAGCGCGAGATGTCCTCTTCTCCTCAGGGGACGAAGATAAATCGCTGGTCGACTTCGACAAAAAGGCCTCATCCTTTTTCGAGACAGAGGAGATGGACAGTCTGCTCTCAGATCGTGACACCGAAGCGGCTCGAGACTGGTGACCAGAAGACGAAGACATACTGTGTTCTTCTGATTTGGTAATCGTCGGTTCCAGAGACCCACGTTCAACGGTCAAAAGACTAGCTTGGAGATTGAGTACGCCCGAGTCTGGCAGGTCTGGTTTTGAATCGCTAGGGGTATTGGTTGCGTCGCGCACTATCCGAGCAGTCACCGAGATTGAACTCGTAGTGCATGCAGCATTCGTACTAGATTGTGAGTCGCGACATTTGACACTAGGGGCTCGGGAGAAAGCTTCCGGAGAATAAGAGCCACGCCGGGAAATTGAGCCTACGTCTGAATTGCCCCCACTTAGCGACACGGAGGCTCGCTTTCGAAGAGCTTCGAAAGAGGATGCAGTAGGTGGAGCTAGATTCAACCCTGAGTTCGATGACGTTTCACGGCCGTTGGAAAACTTCTCCAGAGCTTTGATGCGCTTTGAGATTCCTGAAGATACATTGATCTTCTTGGCCACAAGCACAGGACCTGCTGCGCTATCCATGTCTCCGGAAGGACCAGACACTGATCTGTCCCCTGAGAGTGACTGCATATTGTAAAATCGGTGTCCCAGGGCGCTCGGGTTCGAAACCGCCCGCGAATTCTTCCAAGCATGAGAGCTTATCTGGTCATTGTTATTTGGATAGACAGGCGACAACGGCGACTTTCCGACCGAAACAGGCTTCGCTTCCTCGACAGTGGCGCTTTTCAGTTCTTCCATGAAGGAATCATCCGAAAGGAGATTTTCGTCATCAGAATAGTCTGGAGTGGGCACCTGAATAGGCTCGAGCTGAGGTTTGCGCTTGTCTTTACGAGTATTCACGTTCTTCGAATCCGCATTCGAGGTTTCAGGGATCAAGTCATTCTGCGGCTCCCCGGGATAAGGTGCTATTACCGTCGCTTCAGGAGTGGAGCTCGACTGTGAATTGGAAGTTGGCGAGTCGGGAATAGGAATGGATTGGGGCAGGGTTAAATCGGCCGGGTCAGTCACTGTTAAAGCCTCGTCCAGGCCAGTAACAGGATAATTTTCCAGATGCGAAGGAGAGGGAACAATTTCTTGGATTTTCTCTGTTGCAGCTTTTTCCATGTCTTGGGGTGGGACGTGGATGTCGGCGCTAGGCAAGCCGGGGCCACTTTTAGTGTCGTTGTCAATGGACACGGTCAAGTCTCTGTGGGCAGCGTCCGCTTCAATTTTCGGAGCCACTTGAGTCGCCTGTAACTGGTCTGTCTCCGATGATTCTTCTGGATTGGCTGTAAGAGCGTTGCCTGTTCTCAGAAGCGACTGATTGGGAAGCTGTTCGTCATCGAAGTTGGCGACCTCCATACCCACGGCGGAATCGGGTTTTGCGGAGTCGGACATAGCAAGCTTTTCGTCAGGGGCAAGCTTTTCCTCAGGAAGTGCGATTGATCCGGGCAAAATGGAAAGCTGCATCTTAGGACAAGGCTCTTTGCTATGTTCGGTCACCGCTGCAGTTTCTTGCTCATGCTTCGACTTGTCATCAGCCTGATCAATGTTCTCCTTATTCTCGTCAACATCTGTCAATCTCTCATCTTTCCCCTTACGATCCTTTTTACTATCCGCCGCCCGCTTTTCCATTTGCGTTTTTCGCAACTGAAGAGCTTTCATCAGCCGTTCCTTTTCGTTTGAGGTGCCAAACGAAGACAGAGCACTCAGTGATTTAGCACCAGGTGAAAGCTGAGGCCGTGAAATCGGCATTGACAATGGCGGGACCAACAAGGGCGGGACAGGGGGAGCTGTTCGGCTGGACACGGATGCCATTGGGCTTCCTTGAGAACGGGGACGAGATGGGCTCGGGTTGCCTTTCCGTAACGAAGATGTCCTAACACCAGCCGGTAAAGAGGCTACCGGCCGCTGCTCGGCGTTTCGAGACAGGTTACCTGCCGTGCGAGGACGCCCGCTCCCGTCTACCGAAGGTCGAGGGCCACGCTTGACTTTCGGGTTGTACGTACTCGCACGCTCCAGGTCCCTGAACGACGGCCTGACCGACTGTGTAGACCTCCGCGATTCGGATGGTGCGTAGGATATGTCATCCTCAAGTCTTCTTCGTGAAGCGGGGCGTTCGGATCTACTATCCCAGGAGAGAGAGACTTGATCACTGGCTTGTGAATCTTGTGGGCTCTTTGCGACGAGGGGCGATTCGTCGCCACTGGGGTTTTCTCGAGCGTTCGACGTGACTGATAGGGGCACTATGGTGGCTTCGGATACATGGCTGGTTGACCTTTGTCGATTGTCCGCATGTGGAGATGGGGCCTGCGTCTGGTCCTTGGTCGTATTGTTTTCCTCTGCATCTTCAGCAATTTCCATCAGCCTGCGACGGCGGAGGGAGCTTGAAGAGGAGGTGATAGAACCTGAAGCAGCATGTAACAGGCACGCAGAAGACAGTGCACTCTCAGTAAGATCTGCTGACTTTGCGAAGGAGAATACAGTATCGTGGGGTGAGAGCTTGTCCAAGATTGACTGAAACTGCACTGTGGATCGGGCTACACACAAGACCGCGTCAGCGAGATTATAGGTTGGCGGGAAAAGAGCACGACAATCGAACCAGGGTGGAAGTACCTTGTATAAGCCTCGAGAGGCCCTCTGGCAGGTAGCTCAGCACTACCTTCCTCCGCCGATATTGTAAGAAACCGTAGAGAGGAGAGATTTCTTCATAGCTGTCGATCGCACTCCGCACATCTGGCACCCCGCCTGTTCCTCGGTCAAGCAGAGTTACCTCGTCCCTTGATAAGTAACGGAGAAGAAACCTAAATACCAATGGGCAATGAGTGTCAGCTCGCATAGATAACGCGCTAACTATTATCATTCACAGCCACGCGACGCAATTGCGACCGATCAAAATTCATTGACGAAGGTGAACTAACCATCCTCCCGCTTCGGCCAGAGCGCTCTGGTAGGCTTCGATGACAGCGGGATTATCTAGCCCATTAAGAGACATGACGGGAACCGCATTGGGAGCGGATATCCGGTTCAAATGTCACAATGGAGAGATAGACGAGGAAGACGAATCGTTAACTCCTGAAAGGATGGGTTGTTCAATGAGTGTAGATAGAGATCGAAAGGAAGGAGGACTGCAGTCGACTTTGGCGAACAGTTGGTGAAGCCTTAAAACGAATGTGCGGAAAAGACGACACGCGTCCAGATCGAGGCCCTGCCCAGATCAGGCACTGCCACCTAAAGAGTCGAAAGTCCGTCGCTATTGAGGGATTGACAGGATGAAAGAGGGACTTGACGCCGTTGACGGAGATGTATCTACCTCACGAACCTCTCAGGAGTTCAGGGGCACTCCTAGTGGAGGACTAGCTGCCTCCACTTTCAGAGATAGGGACGGGTCGAAATATCCCCACGTTTCCTTGGCCCGATTGCAATTAGGCCCGAGGCAGGGTAATTAGCAGATGTTTGGGCAGGTACTTGGTCGAGTCCAAGTGCAATCGGTGAAATCAGGGCGAGGTATGAACTATTGATAGAAGATTCCAAGAATCAAAGTATCAGAGAATTCCATAAGATTCACAGCAGGAGATATTCTCATTGTGACTGGGAAATCAGAACAAGTGATGGCTTTATGGACAAAGCAATTCAGTCAACTGCAGACAAACTTTTAGTGTTGGTGGTTACCTCTATTGTTTGGAGGAACTGTGATCTATATATTATTGTTAGCCAAGGTACAGGCTATAGATATTTCTTAGTAGTGTTAATGCACCAACTGAGATATTGTTGACTAGGTATGGTCTGTGCAGTTGCCATACCCTTGTTATCCTTAGTCTCCCCTCCAGAGACCTGTATCCCAAGTATATCTATCATCAGAGTATTGCTGCTTGAAGTACTTCAATGCTTAGGATATAGATACTTTGCATTCTATATGTTAGTCTTTTAGTAACCTGGCAATGCAACACAAACTGTTCTTCATTAGTTGAAGAAAGAATGGTGTCATTGTTTTTAGAGCTATACAAAGTGTGGATAGGCAGAAGAAGTGACAGTTATATCTCCACATTTTTATGCAAGCACAGATCGTCCATTACATGCATGGAAGGGCCCTAAAGTTTGTTATAATCAGGACAGTTGGCGCCAGAAATGTCAACTCTCTTGGTTCTGAGATTCTCATCGTGGGCGACAGGGAGGAATAACCTTACTTCCAGATAAGCTTCTCACAGATGGAGTAGATAAAAACGTCAATCCAGCATTCCAATCGACGTCAATCTGAATCAATCCTTCTTCAATAATTCTTCATTTCCATTCCATAAATATCTCTCTAAATGACCGATATTTTCAACCACCCACCTCCATGATGGAGTCGATCCGCCCTGGAGCTCTCCGCCTCTGTCAGCAGCAACAACCACTCGGAGACTCCCGATGCGGGGTGGAATCCATATTGGTCCTGGTATTTATCACCAGGCGACCCTCCAACTTCCTTCGCGATTCATATCACGATCCGGTATATTACTCGCATAGGTGCCGGCGAAGGTGCTGAAAGCTACAACTTCAATCATCATGTCTTCCAGTCTTCCTCCAATCTCATCACTACCGTCTCTACCACAGGATGAGCAATTCAGAGCTCTCGATACCCTCTTTGAGCCATCTCCAGAACTCCACACGCTGATGGCTCCGGTCCTATCCAACCAAACTTTCTCGTCGTATAACAGTCTCATCGATGCAGTAGGCGGCCGAATGGCTGCACTTTCCCCCAAGAATTCCCCCACCGACGATAAAATCCTCGCGGGAATCTTGGGGTCGCATCCTCGCCTTGGACGGCCTAAAGCTGCAGATACAGAACATATGAGCGAGCTCAGTAAGAGAGAGCAGGCCAATTTGAATACAGGGGCAGAAGAACAAGCGGAGAAATTGAGGCTACTCAATGTCGAATATGAGGAGAGATTTCCAGGACTGAGATTTGTGTATGTGCTTTGTCGAAGTATCAGCATTCGATGTCTTCTGTATGCTGACCGTATGCCTTCCGATCACTTGATCTAGAACGTTTGTCAATGGAAGAAGCAGAGATGTCATCATGGAGGAAATGCACCAGAGGATTGAAAGAGGCGATATCGCGCGTGAAAGACAAGAAACCATCCAGGTGCGTGCCTTTGATTGACAACATCGTTGGTGACGAACAGCCTGCTAATCCTGGCATTCATTGACAGGCAATGTGCGATATAGCCAAAGATCGAGCTAAAAAACTGGAAGAGTCTTCATGAATTGACCTGCTATATTATTTTTGAATCAATAGATCTGAATGAGAACATGAGAACACAGGCATGATTAATTCAGTCCTTCTTAAAACCTGATGCACTGCTTGATGATGTTGTCTTCACAGAGCGATGGATGTCTGACAACCTACACGATGGGTTGATCTATTTTGCAATAGCCAATAACGCCCTGTCTCTGAGGCTGCTTCCAGAAACGCTTCAAATGAGTTTAATATTCACTGTTATCTGGGGTCTTGGATAGTGTGATAATTGTGGCAATGCTAGATGTGGGGACATCAAGAACAGGCCCACTGCTCTGTGTACTGTGAAGACTGACCATTATCTACCTAGATATTTATCTTTCTAGAGACATATATGTTTATCTCTGTCAAAGAGAGCTCATGAACTGGGTGCAAAGGACTCCATCTATAGGGATGGTCAAGAGTCCAAGACATTGGTGGTTGCCGTGCACATCCATTACTATCCAGGTTTGTTTAAATGAGACTCCTATTGGTGTATCGTTGGACAGGTTATCCTTAGTTGCCGCCAATGACTCGTCTTAGGCTATTATATTAGATACTCCGTAGACCCTGATGCCTCTGCCGCAGCGTTCCTATCACCATGTTTAGATCATAATATGGTTCCTCATGACAGAAATCAATGGTAAATGGTCCACTTGTTCCAGACCTTCCAAACCCCGAGGTCCTTCATTCGCTCAGTGGCCTTGTGTGTAAGCTCTACCATGACCATGGATCCCATCATTATTAGAATGAAAAGTATGCTCCAACCGAAGAAGTTAAGAGGGAAAAAGCACTACTATTGATGTCCCGCTTTGATGTCATCCATTCTGCTGTAAGCCCTCATCCGGATATTGCCGTCCACTTTCATTTCATTCAACCACACTAAACACAAAAGAAGGATGGTAATAATAATCTATCATGGCCACTTAACTAATCTATCTAACTATACTATTCTTATCAATTATTGTCATCCTTGTTAGCTACCTAGTTAACATGACCCTGCTCCGAGTTTCCTAGAGCCCTGTCATCCTCTTCTATGGCCCCTTCCAAGTCCTCTCCACCCAGCTTCACACCGACAGAAATTCTCCCACACATCGTACCGGTCTCTATCTAAAATCCACATGCACAATTACAAGCGTCAAGCTCACTATGGCGGAGGGTTCGCAGGAGACGGACGATCAAAGGGTCCAGGTGTCGCGGGCTTCGACAGCCCCCGCGTTGCCCGCAATCATCACCACCGCGAGCAGTCGCAAGGAAGGCCATCACAATAATGATAACAGCAATAAGAATGATAGTCCCACTGTCGCCACACCGGGACTTTTAAAGACTTCACAGTCTTTCCCTGTCGGTATGTGCAATCTTATCGTCTTCCTTTTTTAAGGACTTGTCATTCCAAACAAATCAGCCCCGTTCGTTCCGGCTCCCACGAATCAATCACCAATGATTCTGTAATGTGTCACCCGCTGATGGTTATTTGCTTTTCTCGCGGACTTGATAGGTTCTGTCGCCTCCGATAATGCATCAGGCTCAAGCGCAAATCAGCAAGATACGAAGAAGAATGCCCGGTCGTCGATTCAGAGTAATACCTATGGCAGAAATTCCATTTCCTCCCCAACGCTCTATGGGCCCAGCGCAGATTCGAGCGCGATCGATCCGCTGTCGCAAGTGAGTTTCTTCGCATTACTCACCTTACAATACAATGTCATATTGGAAGAAAATGCATTGAGGACTGATGCGCTACTGCCGAATTTAGCACATCATTAAGCGCACCAACACCGAACGATCAATTCCTCTGAAACTCCTTGGAAGAGCGTCATATGAAGCGGAAGCTGGCGGAACGAATGACTACTCTCCAGCTGAGCAGGGCTCGATCCCGGGGGATGCTGTGTTGCGCCAGAAGCCTCCCAAAGAGAAAAAGTACGTGGCACATGTCTCGTTCAGTTCGGTTTTCAACAAGTCATTGTCTTTCATTCGTCCTCCAACATATGATCCCCTGTCAGATGTCAGATGCACCCCTAACTCCATCCTCTTACTCTCCAACAACGAAGCTCGTCACTGCTTTCCGAACAATTACTTGATAATAACGCGGCATATTTGCGATTCACAGGAAAGGAGTATCGTTCCTTAGTCGGATAATCGGGGGCAAAAAGAAAGAGAATCCGTCTGAAGCAGGGGACGATGTCTCGCAACCGGACACCTTCCGCATGGATGCCAACGCCGCGGCACAACCGATAGGCTTCTTTCCCAAGTTCCCTCCTCCGCCAAAGTACATCAGGGTGAAGGCATACTACAAGAAAGACAAAACGTTCAGTAGGGTGTTTCTCGCGCAGGAATTGACTGACACAGAGGCACCTTCGAACCACTCGGTAAAGGATGCAACGGGATCGACGACAGGCACGCTAAGCGGCGGCAATACCGGAAAAGCAATATGGGCGTTGTCATTCTCGAAGGACGGCAAGTATCTAGCAGCGGCAGGTCAAGACAGAAGAGTGCGCGTTTGGGCCGTCATTGCTTCTCCGGAAGATCGTAAAGAAGAAGGACTCGGTGAAGGCGAAGAAGCTCTAGACGGGGACGAGCCTCCCCGGCTGAAGGCGCCTGTCTTTAGGACCAAGCCGATCCAAGTGTACGAAGGTCACAGTGGAAGCGTGCTGGACCTGAGTTGGAGTAAGGTACGAGTCTTACATCGAAGAGGCTTATAATGTGAGTCTGACGCGGTTGATCAGAATAACTTTCTATTGTCTTCCTCAATGGACAAGACTGTCCGCTTGTGGCATGTGACAAGGTCGGAGTGTCTATGCTGCTTTCAGCACAGTGATTTTGTAACTTCTATCCAGTTCCACCCCCGTGACGATCGGTTTTTTCTTGCAGGGTCTCTCGACACTAAACTCCGTCTCTGGAGCATCCCGGACAAAAGCGTGGCATTCGTCGCCGCGGTCCCGGATATGATCACATCGGTCGCTTTCACCCCTGATGGTAGGCACTCAATTGCCGGTTGTCTCAATGGTATGTGCAACATATACGACACGGATGGGTTGAAGCCGGTTGGGCAGATACATGTCCGATCCGCGCGAGGCCGCAACGCCAAAGGCAGTAAGATAACAGGCATTGATACCATTACGTTACCTCCTGGCGACCCCAATGGTGAGGTCAAGCTTCTGATCACAAGTAATGATTCGCGGATACGACAGTACAACTTTAGGGATAGGACACTGGAGGCGAAGTATCGCGGCAACGAGAACACATGCAGTCAGATCCGTGCCTCCTTTAGTGACGATGGCAAACATATCATTTGCGGGAGTGAAGATCGCCGGGCATATGTTTGGCCTACAGGTGCCGTGGAGAAAGACTTCGATAAGCGTGCTGTTGAAGTTTTTGAGACACGGTCCGCTATTGTCACCGCAGCTGTAATGGCTCCCTCGAAGACAAAGCAGGTCTTGGGCTTTTCAGACGACCCAGTGTACGACATCTGCAATCCACCTCCGGTGACCTTGGTGAGCGCCGCAGAGAAGGAAAATGCTCGCCAAAATCGCATCTCCGACGTCAGCAAGCTGGCGCAGGAATCCCCATCATATCTCTCCCGTTCAACACACCCTGGAGGCAATATCATCATCGTCGCCGATTATTCGGGCAAGATCAGAGTTCTGCGGCAAGACTGCGCGTTCCAAAAGCGCCGCTACGAGAATTGGGACACCCATTCCACCTTTTCCAGAAGACTGTTGCGTCGATCCAATTCAGCTCGCCATAGCATTGCGTCTTCGATCGGGAAGGAGTCATCTCACAAGACACCTTCAGAGCGCATCATCTCTTGGCGCAACTCGGTTATAGGGCACGACGTAGCGAAGCGGGAAGGCTCCCGCCATGGGACGAGGACTCGGAGTCCGTCTCCCCACAAGCCTATACCCGATGTTTCACGTTACTCAAATCCAGTGCGTCAATTTTCAGGCGGAGCACCGGCCGATTCTCTGTCGCTCACTGTGTCTCCACCGCCATCTGCGTACAAGTCATCCTTTGACAGTCGACGGTCCAGTGTAGAAGCCTCGAAGCGGAACGCGGAGGACGTCGGAATGGCCCCGACCGCGAGGACAATAGTCGCCAAGGGAAAGGACAAGGACAACCCTTTGTGGCTACAGGGCCAACAGAGCTACGCATTCTGGAACAAGATCGCCCATGATGCGCTGAACAAAACGCCATCGCAGCCACGGGATTCGAACAGGTTATCTGTTCCTGGACGCAAATTCAGTATTGCCAGCGCTTTGAGCAGCGATTATGGCTCCTCCAACGAAGAGGGGGACGAGGGAGATGTGCTCAGGTGTGATAGCTGCCAAGGGACGAACTTTCGAGCAACCAAGTCGCGAACCGGCAAGCAAAAATTGATCTGTGTGCGCTGTCATCGACCTATCAGCTAAGCACAGCTGGAGCTTATCTACGTGCATTTCCTGCATATGTTCTTCTATTCTCTAGAGTAGTATGTTGCATTTTGGGTGTCACTTGTATATTTTGGCTTCAAATCTGCAGGGGCCGTTGTATTTAGCAGCTTGTACAGTACACGAGATGATGATGGATGATCATGACGGATGACAGATGGCGGAATGTTTCCTTTGGCATGAACTTGAGGTGTAAAAATTTCATTATTAACGTGTCCATGACACTTGGTTGGTCAAATCTTGGTGCAAGTCCAGTTTTGGCGCTTAGGTTTCCTGTCCAGTTGGCTGCCCTGCCAAGCCTCGACCACAGCGAAATGAAATGAAATCGTTCTCCGACTCCACATTGTCAAATGCCCGCAGTTCGCTCCACCTCCAGCTCAATTGCATCCACCATAAACGAAATCTCCAGCAGTCAGCCATTAGTCAATACTTCTGCATCTGGAATCCCTCACAAACAGTCTAGCCATTGCGCGCGCAATTCCCAGAAAGAGGAGAAATCAACCCGGGCAAGATGCCATACCTACCCACAAGCCAGGCCTTCCTGGAACAATCCGCTCTACTGCTTGAAGCATACCCAGAGACTGTACGTCAAGACCAGGAGCATCTTACCTCATGCAATAGACCCCTTAGAATTCCCTATCAATGAGCCAAACCTCATTAGATCGTGACTAACTCTCCAACGCAAACCGCGCAGACCCGCATCACAACAAAATACGGCTTCCCCTCACGACGACCTTCAGCACAAAAAAAGCCCTCCTCGACACCAAACCCCGAGACCACCGACTCCCCAGCCTCAACTGCCGCCAACCCCAGCGCAGTCCTCACCCTGAAAACATACAACCCAACCGCAGGCATCTGCCTGAAGTACCGCACGAATAAAGCCGCGGAGGTCGGTCGACTGGTGACCAGCCTGGGCAAATTGGCGGGCGGTGCGAACGCCGCGGGGCTTGGGCTCTCGGCTCCGGCGCCGACGACAACTGCTTCAGCCACAGCGGATGTGGATATGACGGACGCTCCGGCGGTGGTCGAGGAGGCTGCGAGTGCGAATGCGAGCAAGGCGGATACGAGTGCTAAGGGTGGGAAATCGAAGAAGAAAGGCGGGAAGGGAAAGAGGTGATGAGTAGCGAGAGAACGAGCGTATTTGAACGAGGAATGAAGGGTGTCCGTCACCAGATACTGCACGGATGATGACTACTGTGGCCTGCGAAGTGGTGCCGCTCGCTGTTTCGCCTCTGACCGATCGATCTGAGAACTGATGTAGACCGTCGGAGCAGCTGTGATGATGAGAGCAGCTTGCTCCGGCTTCGTACGTCTGAACTGAGACTCCGTCGAAGCGCACCAGCAGGGTTAAAATGACGGCACTCGAGGAAGACCGGAGACAGAGGGTTCATGACTCGCATAACGACTTCCGATCAGCAGATTACATATTCCATGAAGGTTGGGTCCAACTCGGTCGAAGAACTATTTAAAAGATCTATCAAAATATCCAAGTGGAATGTATAGTGCTATCCTTTCTAACTAAATACATTGCGTCCGTCCATACACTCATTATATGCCGGACATCTTCTGAATGACGGAGCGGAAGACTCATAATACAGACACAAAGAAAAATTCCGCCAGTTCCCAACGCCGTGCCCATGCGTAGCCCTCAAAAATAGAAACATCATAAATCAATAACGAAGGTGAGCAAACGAGACAATTATCTTCATATCAAATGGCAGGCGCCAGAGACACTCCAAGGGTCCCGAACATGGCACACAGCTGGGTATAAGTTGTTCAGTGTTGGTTTAGAAGTCTTCGTCAAAGCTGAGACCTCCATCATTGGCGTCCTTTGCAGTGTCCTGGCTGGCATCCTTCTTGGTGCTGGCCATGACACCGGCCTTCTGGTAGTCACCAACACGCTTCTCAAAGAAGTTGGTCTTTCCTGCAAGAGAGATACTTTCCATGAAGTCGAAAGGGTTGGGAGAGTTGTAGTACTTCTTGTTACCGAGGGCGACCAACAGCCGGTCAGCAACGAACTCAATGTACTGGCACATCAGCTTAGAGTTCATGCCCAGGAGAGCGACAGGAAGAGCGTCTGTCAAGAACTCCTGTTCGATGGCCACAGCCTCAACGATGATATCCTCAACAACCTTCTTGTCGGGGCGATGGTTCAAGTGAGAGAACAGAAGGCAGGCAAAGTCAGTGTGCAGTCCCTCGTCACGAGAGATGAGCTCGTTGGAGAAAGTGAGACCAGGCATCAATCCACGCTTCTTCAGCCAGAAGATGGAAGCAAAAGATCCAGAGAAGAAGATTCCCTCCACAGCGGCGAAGGCCACAAGGCGCTGCGCGAAAGTAGATTCCTTATCCGAGATCCATGTCATGGCCCATTGGGCCTTCTTGGCAATACAAGGAACTGGGGAAAAATTAGTGACTCGTCTAAACAAGAGGAAAGAGACAACACCATACTGGTATCAATGGCATCAAAGAGGTATGTCCGCTGCTTAGGCTCCTTGATGTATGTATCAATCAGCAGGGAGTATGTCTCCGAATGAATATTCTCAATCATGATCTGGAAACCGTAAAAGCACCGAGCCTCAGGCACCTGCACTTCATTGCTGAAGCGCTCCAGCAGGTTCTCATTGACGATTCCGTCAGAGGCAGCGAAGAAGGCAAGGACATGAGAGATAAAGTAACGCTCATCGTCATTCAGGCGGTTGTTCCAGTCGTGCAGATCTTTGGAGAGATCAATCTCCTCAGCGGTCCAGAAGGAAGCTTCGGCTTTCTTGTACATTTGCCAAATCTGCGTCGGAGAAGCGGGACATATTAGCAAACAATGCACACATAGGACATGGCGCGGATGAAACCACTTTACGCGTGACGCGTTGTGGACGTGCCACTCACCTCATGATACTTGATTGGAAAGAGTACGAAGCGATGAGGGTTCTCTTGAAGCAGCGGCTCATTTGCCTCGAGCTCCTTTATACTCTGGGCAACTTTAGAAGCTTCCGTAGGCTTTTCCGTAATCTTTTCGGCCGGCGCGTCGGCGAGGGTTGTGGACGACGGCGCGTTTTCCTTGCCCGCAACCCCGAAGTTGAGCTTCTTCACAGGTGAATCGCTCATCTTGAGGTTCTCGAGAGAGGACGCAGCCTACAGGAAAAGCAATGTTAGTGTATCCTGTTGCTGTGACGCGTCTGCAGCAGGAGGCAAAGGAAGTGACATCAGGTACCTGCTTGGAAGGAGTAACTTGCGCGGCCATTTCGTGGAGTGTCTGAAGCAATGTGAGGGCAAACCGCAAGACAAATTGATCACACAGACACGAGAAAAGGCTTCTAGACTGGGCTGAGAAGATGGGATGGAGAGGAAACAGCTGCTGGGAAGGAGGAAGAGCGGGCAGAAATACTTGCTTCAGATGAGGCAGCGTGATCCTTAGCGCGACGGGCTAAGTCACGTCGCACGTGACTTAGCGCGCTTTTTGGGCCTGGTGGCTGGCGGAAAATCCTTTATTACGTATTTTGGTGTTTTGGTGTCGCGTCTGCCAGGGACGAACACTGGGCCGCAAGGTAGAAACTCCATCAAGCCTGGATGCCTCCAGTCTTTCGAAGGGGTATTTCTTGGCTCATACACTTCGGTGGTCTCGAGCTCCTAGCTCCGGCAGTCATGTTGTATCTATTCCGTATTATCCACAATCTTGTCGGTCAACTTACAAGTTTATTAAACGTGATTCACATATTGGATCCTTACAGACATATTACTAGCTATCATGGGTTTCAGAGACTAGGCTTTCCCATAATTATCCTTACTGAGTGAGTTCTTAGTGTCGCGTCATTCGCGTCCAGCTACTTATCTTATCAGATCTGATGTGATCGTCAGCTGCACTCAGACTTTCAGACTCTGGAAGGAGAGCCCACCAGACTTAAGCCAGCACTCAACTGGCCTGCACCTGTATTCATTTTTAAACCTGCTTCTTGTACCTGTCGCCACATGCCTTGATTAAATTGACATTCTAGAATGTTTCCGCATTGACTCCTGCTGTCCTGCATAGCTCTCATGCGGGTGTGTCTCATTACCTTATCGCACTACCGAGGACGCGACTTAAGTTCGACCATGCATTCTTGCTCACGTCCATGGCCCCATCTACGCTAAGTATTTGGGAGTTGAGATTGAGTAATGATTGTGTAAGCTGGCTTAGCACTTCATTCGATTCCACCATCCGACAGAATGAGACCATGTCAGGCCTAAGGTGGGTGCGACGCGGTATTTCGGAAGAGGAAAGCCAATTAACTAAGGGCAGCTTTCGAAGATTTAGCTTCCACAACGGATTTACGGGTATATACGGTTTACCTCTGCTTTGTGCTGCATATCCCTTGAATTCCTCCTGGATTCTCAACTCCTAATACTGATTCATACCTGATGCTCGGGCTACCTAGTCCGTTGGGTGGGTCTCGCATTCACTCTTTACCCTCTGTTCACAAAAGAGCATGAAAGAGATAAACACGTCTTAATGCCAGCTGGTGACCTTTTCACTCTTAATATGACATGTATCTGAAAAATCGGTTCATTGTACCCTTCTAGGCTTGGTTAATTGCCCTTGCCTTTCCACCATCCATCAGCGGCATTATAGGCCCCGCCTGATTGCTGTCTGTTCTGGGTTCCCTCAGACAAGAAACACTCGGCCATTTTTACATGTCGACATGTCTTAAGCGTTAGCTGCGATGCCTGGAAGGACGCCTTGCATCTCTAGCTCCTGATTCCATATCGGGCACTCCATCAACAAGCCATCCGATGTGGTGTAATGGCTAACATCGCTGTCTCTCACACAGCAGCTCGGGGTTCGATTCCCCGCATCGGAAAAAGAACTTTTTTTTTTCTTTTATTGGTTTCTACAATACGATGCTGCCACTACTTCTATGTCCTCAGCAATTGCCACTCTCAGATGTGATTCGGTCTGTGCGTATCCTAGTTAGCTATCACCCTGTTACTATATAGTAGTGTCCATTCGGCCCCATTGAACAGCATCTACCTGGTCAGACTGGCCTACTTGAATACCGCCTCCCAAATCACTATCAGCCCCCCTATGGTAAGTGGGCGGATGGCGACACTTTTTGCAGTCTGCCTCCTCGATGCATTCGGTGCAATGGGATTTCAGAGTCAGGGTCTTCCACGGCTCAATCGAACTTAGGCAAGACGGTTGCGAGGGCTTGGAAAGGGACCATGCATCTGTTCAGGTCTATGACTACCATCTTTCCCAGCTCAACTAGTTCGTACTGGTTCTCGAACTCGCCCCACGCGATAGCATCCCCCAGGACCCGTGTTAATCCGCAAATCCGCGGAAAGACGAAAGCTCTTCGGATACCCGCACTGCAGGTTATTTATTGCCAGGGAGTAGGAGAGATAACTACCAACCAAAAAAAAAAAAAAAAAAAGGCCCCAAAAACATATCTCGAAAGGGGGGAATCATTTCCGATGCGGGGAATCGAACCCCGAGCTGCTGTGTGAGAGACAGCGATGTTAGCCATTACACCACATCGGATAACTTGTGGAAATATTTACAGATTTTGACTACATACGCCAACTGTACGCACTCGACGTACTGATTATCATGCCATATCGCCTTGCCCTCCCTAACCACCGAGTGGATTGATCATCGTGGGTTAAGACTATCCAAGCGTGGGATCATGTAGAATTACGTGGTTGATCCCATAATCGATGAGAGGTTTCTTAGTACTTCATGTTGAATCCTGATATGCGCATATATATATATATATCCGTTGCCACGGGATGTGTCCACAAGCAATAGCGATTGGGAACTGCACAAAAAGCCAATATTGGAGACACCCACAACGTTATCACCAACTAGCAGAGCAAACAGTAACCAGAAACCACCAAGGCCCGGGAGCTAAGAGACTGGCTCGGTGTATCCCCAAAGGCATTGAAACACCAAATGAGAGCAAGCCACCGACGAACCGCCAGTGCCTCCGTGGCAGAGCCCCATACTGACTCCCAAGATATGAAGAGAAAAACCCGAGTCTATACCACTGTACCGAGATCTACACGATGCATTATATACTGATATGTACAAAAAGTCCAAGCCGCATCGCAGCAGGACGACCCGGAAGTCAACGCCACCAATGTATATACCGAACGATTCGAGCGATATTTCCGCTGCAACCGCTCGACAATGCAAAAGACCAATGCCATAGTCTCTAGAAATCCCATTATCACCATCACTGACCCTATCCCCGACGCTCAAAGGCGTCCCCGTTGCGGCAAGAACCAACTGGGCTAGACACGCGCCTTTATCGCATCGGGAAGAAAGCGGTCCTCGAATCTGCGCATCAGTTTATTGGTCTGCTCAGCCAGACTGAGAGTTAAGATCTACAAAACGAGTCAGCACCAAGCCGTGAAGCGTAGCCTCGATAAGCGGGAAGTTACTCACAGTGTGAGGCAAGATACGAGCCAGATGGGCGAAGTAGCCCTTGTAGATCGCAAGTATACCTTCCTTTCGGATAGTCTTGAAGAGGCAATCGAATGCCCCCTTGTAAAGATCACCGGTCTGGTTGTACATTCTGGACATAACCGTGTCTGTTTATAAAATTAGCCGGCCCATAATCGAACGATGGCCAATTATACGTACCGGGAGGGTGCATGACACAGCAGACCACGAAGCCAGATACCGTACTACTGGCTAGATGAAGGGCTGGACCATCCTCCATTCCCAGGTGCTTCACCAAGCGTCGCTTCGCGAAGAAATACGTGGGAAGCTGGACGGAGCTGCCGAAACCAGTGCGAACCATAGCCGCTCCAACGCCCCGGTAAAGTCCGCCAACACCTTCGGATGTATAAATTTTTCGTAAACCATCGAAGGAGTTTCGATATTCGTGCTGCGTGCCGACGGGAAGGAAGGGAGAATAAGACTGCAAACGAGTTTTCACGAGGAAGAAAGGAGACCCAGCTGCTGCACCGATGATGCCGGACGCGGCGCCTGAGAAGACATTGATACCGAGGGATTGGACTTGCGGATCCTTATAGACAGCAGTTGTGATACCCTTGCGGAGCGGCTCATAGAAGCCCAAACGACAGCCATTGAGCAAGATTTGGTAGACGTACTAAGTCGGCACCCGTCAGCACCCAAGATTCAACCACCGTGTAAAGACAACATACAGCCGAGCCGATTCCCCGGAACAGCCCGCGCGGACCTTCGTTTTGCAGAATGACCTTAACTCCATGGAAGACACCCTTGTATTTCTTGACCGCTTCGCTTTTCGCCTGAAGTTCTCCCTGTAGCTGTAACCTGGGAATCGAGAGAAAGTCAGTTCCGTCAATCAAAGCAGATAAGAGAACAAGGCATACCGAATCTTCACAGTCTCAAAACTATGAGTTACCGTTACCGCACCGCATGCTGCAATACCTCCAGCAATGAATGCCCTTCAAAGCAATTGTCTCTCATCAGCACAAATTATACCCATAAAACTATGAACTAAATGTCGACGCATACCCTGTTGTCGTCGACATAACGACTGACAAACGATCCCTGCAAGCGGTGGACGACGGCCAAGATCTTATGGAGCGACGGAGGAGTTAGCAGAGCGGAGACGGTGGCTAGAAACAAGAAATCAAAAGAAAATTGCAACAATGGCACGGTGGGTTTTGTCAGAAATAAGGCGTCCCACCTGCTTCTAGGCGACCTGCTGGTGAGGAAGAACCTTGAGATTATAAAGCGACCAACACAGTCATGGCGGCATTGCAACCGAATCTGAGATGCATCGCGGCGGAGAGATCAATTCCGCTTTGCTGATTGGCCACTTTACTGCCAAATGCCTCCGATCATCGGATCGGCATCATTCAGCCGCCGGCGCGGATCAACTAGTCTTCCGCTTAGCGTCGGTTAAACGCGCGGAAGCAAGCGCGCGTTGCTCCCCAGTTTCGCAAAGCTCCCCACGTCAAACAAATCCGCTACTGTGATTGAGGATCAGCAGGCACAGAAGCCGACCAGAGGACGGGTTTAACAGGGCACGGAGGAGGACTGCTAGGCTGGCTGAATATCCTTGCTTTATCCTCCACTGGGTTTATGACGATCGATTTGCGGTAACTACCGAGCCATAAATCATGTCGGAAACCCAGCAGCAACCCCAGGTGCCGTCGCAGCAGTCGCAACCTCAGGCTCCGATGCAGACTCAGAAAGTGGCTGATATAATTCGTAGCTTCCGTCCTGCAAAGGTCAGTCTACGACTCATGTCTGGATTCATCCATTGGTCT